TTAAGATTTTTGATTCTGCTATATGAGTAGATAATCTATGCCATTTTTACGCCACTGATAAGAGAGATAAGGAAGATAAGAAAGATAAGGATCCCACGTGCCAAGGTCAAGGTCAAGGCCAAGGCTACGGTCAAGGTCAAGGATTTATTTTTTAGAACCAGACACATGCATCATCCACACCCCCCCGTCCCTCCCCTTCCCCCAAGTGCCTCACCTAATCTCAACACACACACCCCTGACATGCATCACCCACACTAATCTCCCCAAGGCCGTCACACATACACCCACGCACCACCCACGCGGAGGGTTCGATCATACATATCTACTTTCGAAATACCCACCTTGAATTTCAAGGTCAAGGACATTTTTAAAATCAATATCAAAGATTTATTTTTAGAATTTATTATTTAAAAATTCTAAATACGATTGGAAAGGTTCGAATCCCCCACCTGACATTTTTTATATAAGTTTATATATTTTCGGAATCTATTTTTAATAATTATTATGAATAAGGTTCGAATTTCCCACCTCACATTTTTATATAATATAAATAATTATGTAGGAACATAAACTTAGTTTCTCACATATTCATCTAATTGCGAGATAATTTTTTGACCTCAAAATATTAAACTTCTGGAATTCTAATAATAAATGTTCGAAACACAACTAAATAGTACCTATGGAATAGAAATCAAAATAAAATATTTTATTTTAGTCAACTTAAAGAAAAGTAAATACTATTATTAGACAGAACCACGGTTGTTGATCAGAATTACTCCAAAGGGTAAAATGCAATTTTTTTATAGACATTTAGAATTAAAAAGAAGTATTTTCGCTCTACCTTAATAATCAAGTTTCTATTCTTATTCAATATAAAAAAACTAATCTAAGAATTCATCCTGTTTTTAAGATAATTCGGCTTTTCATGTTATTTTTAAAAATATATTTAATTATCTTTGAACGTATCAAAATCCAAGCGATAGTATGGATCAAATCTTATGTTTTTATCAGTATGTTTTTCTTATTATGCAAGAGTTTAGAATCAAAAATGCAGGACCATGCAATCTTGGACTGCATCCTGTTTTTTAGGATATTTATAAAATTGTCTGATAATTTTTTTGTATTAAACTGCGGAGCAATTTATTTTATTTTTAGTTGCTATTGAACTTTTAAAGTTTTCTAAAAAAAAAAAATAATGGTTAAATCTGAAGTAAAAATTCTTTCCGACATTAAAATTACAAACCAACTAAATTCAAACATTAAAAAAAAAAATAAGTGTAAATTAAATAAAGTTGCAGTACCACCGTTGGATGTTTCAAACAAAGTAAGTATTTTAGTCTCTATCTTCTTAAGAAAATTAGTATAATTTGCAGCAGTGTATGTTAATTCTAAAAAAATATTAATTTGAGTGCAGATAGTATAAAAAAAAAAATCTCAGAACGATACACAATTTTATAATTTTGAATTTACTAAGACAGACAAAAATCTTCTCTAGCGGTTTATAAACTATTTTTGCTTCTATTAGAATATTTAATCATATAACAATAATAATTTTTTGGATTCCTAATACCTATACATTTAATAATTTTTCTTTCAGAAAAGAGATATGCTAGATATATTTGATTTGACAGCGGCAGACGATTTTGATGAGATGATGAGATCCATGAATTTTTCGTCAAACGTTATATTCGTAAGTCGATATTGATATTGTTTTTTCTTTGAATATAATCAAATGTTATTTTTCGATAGGAAAATAGTCTAGAACAAAATCAACTAGTACTACAACAACAACAACAACAACAACAACAACAACAACAACAACAACAACAGCACTTACAACAACAACAGCAGATAGAACAACAACAGCAGATAGAACAACAACAGCAGATAGAACAACAACAGCAGATAGAACAACAACAGCAGATAGAACAACAACTACAATTACAACAACATATACAACAACAACCCAAAGAACAACAGAAGCAGTTACCCCAACTCCTTGTAAGTTGATGTTAATATTTGTTTTGTAAAATCAATTGAAAATTCTTATTACTTTGGAATATTCCTTTTATTTTAGCCTATTTTGCCGGAATTAGTAGAGGCGAATTCAATAGAAAAGAAGGAATTTGGGGACACTTTAAAAAAACTCGAAGAGAAAATAAATAGATTCAAGCAAATAAAGGAAGAGTGTTATTTAATTAGTGAGAAAGTTGCTTCTTATCAAGAAGAAAACTCCTCACTAATGATAGATTTGGAAAAAATGAAGACAAAAATAGCGAATAATAATTTAAAAATTAGTAATTATATTGAAAAATATTTAGAAATAAAAAAGAATATTTAACTGTTGTTTTTCTAACTAGTCCCAAGAAAAAAAAAATGAATACCCTTAATTATAATAATAGTTCTATCAATATAAAGCGATATACTTCCTAATCATATTATCAATAGAAAAACATTCTGATAGTAAGTGAATATACTGATAAGGTTTGCTTAACCATACAAATAAATTTTTTCTTTAAAAAATCATAACTCGAAAGATATTGAAAATTAAGAACTGGTTTGTAAAAGAAAAATACTTGTAATAGCAATAACTATAGATAAAAAAATTAAAAAATATAAGTTTGGAAAAAAAATTCTTTTTGCAAAAAAAAATCTAAGTTCAAATTTTTTCTTCAAAAAATCATAACTCGGAAGATATTGAAAATTAAGAACTAGTTTATTATATAAAAATACTTGTAATAGCAATAACTATAGATAAAAAAATTAAAAAATATAAATTTTGAAAAAAAAAATTTTTTGCAAAAAAAAAATCTAAGTTCAAATTTTTTCTTCAAAAAATCATAACTCGGAAGATATTGAAAATTAAGAACTAGTTTATAAAATAAAAATACTTGTAATAGCAATAACTATAGGTAAAAAAATTAAAAAATATAAATTTTGAAAAAAAAATTTTTTTGCAAAAAAAAAATCTAAGTTCAAATTTTTTCTTTAAAAAATCATAACTCGGAAGATATTGAAAATTAAGAACTAGTTTATAAAAGAAAAATACTTGTAATAGCAATAACTACAGATAAAAAAATTAAAAAATATAAGTTTTGAAAAAAAAATTTTTTTTGCAAAAAAAATCTTAAGTTCAAATTTTTTCTTTAAAAAATCATAACTCGGAAGATATTGAAAATTAAGATGTAGTTTATGAAAGAAAAATACTTGTAATAGGATTAAGTACAGATAAAAAAATTTAAAAATATAAGTTTTAAAAAAAAAATTTTTTTTGCAAAAAAAATCTTAAGTTCAAATTTTTTCTTTAAAAAATCATAACTCGGAAGATATTGAAAATTAAGAACTAGTTTATAAAAAAAAAAACTTGTAATACGATTAACTACAGATAAAAAAATTTAAAAATATAAGTTTTGAAAAAAAATTTTTTTTTTGCAAAAAAAATCTAAGTTCAAATTTTTTCTTTAAAAAATCATAACTCGGAAGATATTGAAAATTAAGAACTAGTTTATAAAAAAAACTTGTAATAGGATTAACTACAGATAAAAACATTAAAAAATATAATTTTTTGGAAATTATTTATTTTTGCAAAAAAAAATTCCAAGTCCAAATTTTGTATGAAGGTTTATCTTTTTAGGGGCCATGACCTAAAAATGAGTAGGTAGTTTATTGATACAATTTTGTTCAGTAAAGGTCAAGGCCGGGATCAAAGAAAGACGAAGGCCAAGGCCAAGGCCAAGGCCAAGGCCAAGGCCAAGGCCAAGGCCAAGGCCAAGGCCAAGGTCAAGGTCAAGGTCAAGGTCAAGGTCAAGGTCAAGGTCAAGGTCAAGGTCAAGGTCAAGGTCAAGGTCAAGGTCAAGGTCAAGGTCAAGGTCAAGGTCAAGGTCAAGGTCAAGGTCAAGGTCAAGGTCAAGGTCAAGGTCAAGGTCAAGGTCAAGGTCAAGGTCAAGGTCAAGGTCAAGGTCAAGGTCAAGGTCAAGGTCAAGGTCAAGGTCAAGGTCAAGGTCAAGGTCAAGGTCAAGGTCAAGGTCAAGGTCAAGGTCAAGGTCAAGGTCAAGGTCAAGGTCAAGGTCAAGGTCAAGGTCAAGGTCAAGGTCAAGGTCAAGGTCAATGTCAATGACAAGGTCAATAGTATACTAAAAAGATTTACAGATTTGATATAAGATCAAGGTTAGGTTCAAGGATAATTTTAAGTTTAAAGTCAAGGTTAAATTTAAGGTCAAGGTTAGTTTTAAGGTCAAGGTCAAAGTTTATTTAAATATCAATATGAATGCTTATCAGTTTTTGTGTAGGCGATATTAACATATAAATATCAAACAGATTGGTGTAATATGTTCAGTTAATAAATAGCTCCTGAAAATACTTTGCATTTGAATATACATATAAATCAATTTTTATCAAAAGTGTATATATCTTCAGATTATTTATACAAAAAAGGTAATTTTTTTAGTAATAATATATAAATATATATATTTTTAAATTGATTAATTTTAGAAAAAATGGATATGTCGAAAATAAATCAATATCTTCTTATAGAAGGAGAACCTAAACCTATAATAAAATTAAAAGAATTGACCAAGGATGTTCCTTACAAAATTAGTTCTGCAGAAATAGTTTCTTCAAGATACGGAGATACAATTCGATTGGTCATAGAAGGGGATAAAACTGTATTTTTACCTCAAAGGTCAATCCAAGTTTTAAAACAGCATATTACTGAACTAGGAAACGGCAAATGTATAATTTTTACTGGAGAAAAAGATACTGGCAAAGGAAATCCTGCAGTTTTATTTAAAATTGTTAATTGTTAAGGTAAGTTTTAAAATTTTATTAAAATGTCAGAAAAACTACATAATGATATTAGTACATTAATTACAAAGTTTTATTATAAATATCCAAACTTTACTCTTCAAGAAAAAGAATTATGGTGCAAACATGTGAAAATAGCCATTAATTTATGTTTAGAAGCTATTCGAACAAATAATTTTTCTGTAGGTAATGCGAGAATGTGGCAAACACATTTAAGTCATAGTCATTTAAAGGTTATTAAATTAAAATTAACTACAAGTGGAGCTGGTTTAAGTAATCAATTATTTGATAGAGTAAAATGGGAAGATGTTGAATCTATATTTCAAAATAGAATTAAAACTGGATTAATAATAAATTTAAAACATAAGGATTTATCCAAATTTTTAAATGATGCAAATCAATTGTTTCAAAATGAAATTAAAAAAAAAATAATTGTTTCTAATATAGTTAAAGTTAATTCAACTTTCTGTGGAGAATTCGTAAAGAAATCAAGTAATGATGAGGAAATAAACGATTTTAAATATTTTCATACTAAAAGTGCTTCCATTGATTCAACAACAGACTTAAAAACCTGGTTTGCAGTACATATAAAAGATTATATTTTAAATAAATTATCTGAATTTCAAGAACGCGATTCATCATGGGCACTAAGTAGAATTATATCACTTGAAATAAATATTAATAAATATGAAATAGGAAACGGTTCATCTTTCATTAGATTACCTAATCAAATTATATTTAAAAGAGCATGTATAAATATAAATAATAATGATGAGGCATGTTTTTATTGGAGCATTGTTAGCGCGTTGTATCCAACAAATTATCACAGTGAACGTTTATCTTCATATCCGCATTATACTCAAGTTTTAAATTTACAAGGTTTAGATATTCCAATACAGTTTAATAAAATTTCACTATTTGAAAAATTAAATCAATTATCTGTGAATGTTTATGGGTTAGAATTAGTAGGAAAAAATTATAATGTCGTTCCATTAAGACTTACAAAAAACAAATTAGAAAAACATATAAATTTACTTTTGATTCAAAATACTTATTTTCCAAAACTAAATGATTATGATGCACCCGATCCAAATGATAATGAACAAATTAATATACGATATCACTATTGTTGGATAAAAAATTTATCTAGACTGATAAATTATCAACTAAATAAAAATGGCCATAAAAAATTTATTTGCGATAGATGTTTAAATTACTTTTTTAATGAAAATAGACTTAAAGATCATTCAATTCTATGTCAAAAACTTAATGATTATAAAATAACGTTTCCAAAAGAAAAAGTAGTTAAATTTAAAAATTTTATAAATAAACAAAAAACACCTTTTATAGTTTATGCTGATTTTGAATCAATGTTATTACCAATTAATGATAAAATAAATATTAAAACAACTAAATATCAAAAACATACTGCTTTTAGTTGCGGATATTATCTTAAATGTGATTATGATAATAGTTTATCATATTTTAAAAGTTATCGCGGTATTGATTGTATGGAGTGGTTTGCAAAGGAAATGAATAATATTGCTGAAACAATTCTATCAAAATTTAAAAACATAGTTCCGATGAAACAACTTCCTGACAGAATAAACATAAAATTTTGTCATATTTGTGAAAATAATTTTACACTAAAAGATATTGTGGTTCGTGACCATAATCATTTTACAGGAGATTTTCGTGGATTTGCTCATGAAGCATGTAATTTAAATTTTAGAAAACAATTTGTTGTACCAGTTGTGTTTCATAATTTAAGTGGCTATGATAGTCATTTTATAATTCGTGATCTTGCTAAATTGGGAAAAATTACTTTGTTACCAATAAACAAAGAAAAATATATTTCATTTACTTTGCACACACCATGTAGCATAAAACTTCGTTTTATAGATTCAATTAGATTTATGAGTGCTTCTCTTGATGAATTAGCATCAACATTAAATACAAAAGATTTAGTTAATTTACATAATGAATTCAATTATTTAAATCCAGATAATTTTCAGTTGCTAACAAAAAAAGGTGTTTTTTGTTATGATTATATAGATACCTGGAATAAACTTGATGAAAAGCAATTACCTTCAAAGAATTATTTTTATAATAAACTCAATGATGAAGAAATTAGTAATGAAAAATATGAACATGCAAAAACAATTTGGGAAAAGTTTAATATTCAAAATTTGGGGGAATATTCTGATTTGTATTTAAAAACAGATGTTCTATTGTTGGCTGATATTTTTGAAAACTTTCGAAATATTGGTTTTAATACGAGTGGTTTAGATCCTGCCTGGTATTATACAGTACCTGGTTATTCATGGGATTGTATGTTGAAATATACAAAATGTGAATTAGAAATTTTACACGATAATGATATGATTCTTTTTATTGAAAATGGAATACGAGGAGGTATAAGTCAATGTAGTTCGCGATATTCAGAAGCGAATAATAAATATATGTCAAATTATGATAAATCAAAACCAGATTCATATTTATTTTATGTAGATGTTAACAATTTATATGGATGGGCTATGTCACAACCACTTCCTTTAGGTAAATTTCAATGGAGTGATCCTAACATTGATGTTACCTCTATCCCTGACGATTCTTCTTTTGGATATATTTTAGAAGTTGATTTAGAGTATCCGGAAGAACTACATGATATTCATAAAGATTTACCTTTTTGTGCAGAACATAGAATACCACAAAATTCAAAATTACCTAAACTTTTAACAACATTTTATTATAAAAAAAATTATATTATTCATTATCGAGCTCTCAAACAAGCGGTAGCTCATGGATTAATTATTAAAAAAATTCATAAAGTTTTAAAATTTAAACAATCTACATGGTTAAAACCATATATTGATCTTAATACATATTTTCGTGCACAGGCAAAAACTAAATTTGAACAAAATCATTTTAAACTTAAAGTAAATTCTATTTATGGTAAAACTATGGAAAATATTAGAAAGCACCGAGTTGTAAAACTAGTTAGACAATGGGAGGGAAGATATGGTGCAAAAAATCTAATAGCAAGTCCTAGGTTTCACAGTCGAACTATCTTTGATATTGATTTAATGGCTATAGAATTACGAAAATCGGAAATAAAATTTAATAAACCTCTTTACATTGGAATGGCTATTTTAGATATCTCAAAAACTTGCATGTATGAATTTCATTATAACTTCATGTTACCTAAATTGGGTGATAACTGTAAAATTATGTATACTGACACAGATAGTTTTATTTATGAAATTAAATGTAATGATTTATATGAAGAAATTATTAAAACTAATATTAATATGTTTGATACTAGTGACTATGCTCCAAATAACATCTATAATGTACCTCTTTGCAATAAAAAAGTTCCAGGTTTAATGAAAGATGAAGCAAACGGAAATATTATAACTCATTTTGTTGGCTTAAGATCTAAAATGTATTCATATAAACTTGATAATAAAAAGATAACAAAAAAAGCAAAAGGAATAAAACATTGTATTATCAAAAACAAAATTTCATTTGAAGATTATGTAGAATGTTTAAATCAAGAAAATAATAAAACTGTTTCACAATGTATAATTCGTTCATATGCACATAATGTTTTTAGCGTCAATCAATCAAAAATTGCACTAAGTTCATTTGATGATAAAAGATATAGAATTAAGAATTCCATTAACACTCTTCCTTGGGGTCATTATAGGCTAAAATCTGACATTTTAATATAGATTTTAAAACTTATATAATATGAAATAATCTGTATGTTATAAATAGTTTGTAAAAAATAATAAAAATGTATATCTAATCAAAATTGTTTAATTAACTACATCCGTCCAAAAAACATTTAAAAGAATGAAGATAATTATATTTTATATACCTGATTGTTTGCATATAAATCTGCAAGACAAAAGTTTTTGGGAAGAAGAAGCTCTTAATCGAATGAGATTTATAAAACGAATTGAATCTTTAGCAACTTATCTGAATCATGTGTTAAACATAGAACATGGAAATAAAATTTATGAAAAAATACAAAAAGATTTATAATATTGTTTTATTAAAAAAAAATTATACAATATTCTATTTTTAAATAATAATAAATATTTTATTCAGCTTATTTATTGTTTTATTAATATTATAAGATAAAATTCCTTATAAAATATATGTACATTATATATTACAAAACAGCAGTTTTATTAATCCATGAGTTATGAGAGCTATCCATTCCAAGCCACTTTACTAATAACTTATTCCCTTTTCTTTGTAAAACCTTTTCCACCAAAAATACATCAGGATATTTAGCTTTTTGTAATTCTTCAGTATAAAAACCTCCTTGAATTTCTTCTTTCTTGCTATCTTCCAGAATATATGTAGTAGGATTTGTAATTTTAACCTTTTTTATTTTAAAAATTTCATTGGTCCAGTTGGGTGTATATCCTTTTTTGAAGACATGTCGATATTTAGAAATTCTTACATAATCTCCAACTTTAAATTTATGTTTCCTTTTATCAACTGTTTTTAAATAGTTGAATGCAGTAATATATTTTGCATTTCTGACATTAATTTTACTGGGTATTGCTCCAGTAACAGAATGTTTAGTATTATTATATTTATTTACAATTTTAGGAAGAATTTTTAACCAATTATAAGAACCTTGTAAACTAAATTGTTTCCATAATAATGACTTTAAAGTTCTTATCACTCTTTCAGCAATACTTGCTTTCAAATTTGAATATGTACTATAATGCTTAATATTATATTTTTTTAAGAGAATGTTCAAGTCTTTGTTATAGAATTCAGTTCCATTATCAGTTTGCAAATGTTTAGGATGAGGCATTTGTGATAAGATTGTTTTCATTGCTGTTACAATTTCTTTTCCTGTTTTTGTTTTTAGAGGTATGGCCCAAACAAATTTACTAAATGCATTAATAACTACCAAAATATAGTTATAATTATTATTTTCTTTTGAAAATTGTGACATTATAGCTAAATCAGCCTGTATCAAGTCATTTAAACCTTTAACAATAACACGTCGTCTTCGAAAATTTATTCTAGCTGGTTTATGGAGCTCCTCAACTATTTGAGTTTTAGACATTTTACACTATTGAGCACTGCAAGACCAAGTCTATATTCATATTATCAAGAGTTCCTAGCTTAAATTTTAATTTCAGTATTAAGATAATATTTATGTTTATTGAATTAATTGTATCAGCTACATCATATTATTTCCGTTTTTCTTGCCATATGTCTAACGGTTACCCAATAATTATGTGTTATGCTTTAGACATTTTTCACTAAAGGACACTGTATAAGCAATTCAATACAAATATTTGATGGTGTACCAAGCTTAAATGTCAATACATCACCTTTATTAATGTTTGTATTATGTAATTCATGAAATTTAAATGATTTGTTATTTATTAAAACATCTCCATCGGCTTTGTAATGAGAAACACTTTCGATTTTAGCCGATAAAGGAAACTTAAAACCAGTGCCACCATTATCTAATACATAAAAACTTTTATTTAAACTTGTTTTCTTTTCACCTCTTATTCGAATTAAACATTTAACATGATAATCAAAAGAATCACAAATATAAAATGGTGCATTTAAAAGTGGAGAAGGTGATGACACTATTTCATCAGAACAGGAGGAAGAGGATATAAGATAATGTTGATTGAATTTATTAAGAGGCATGACTTCAAATGATAAAATTTTTTGGTTGCAGAGTCATTTATAAGAATCAGTGTTCTAAAGGACATTGCAAAACCATCTCCAAATATAAGGATAGGCTAGGTTGATTGTGATTGAATTTAAATTCCATAATATCACCTTTATTTAAAATATTTCCATTTATTAAATCTTCAATTTTCGTTGATTGATTTTTATAGTTAACGTAAAGAATATTTGGATCGCATTGAATACGTACTACTTTACCAGTTACTGGTATTTCATAAGTACTTGTACCATTTTCTAAGATATAATGTATATTATTCTTCTTGCCAATAAAAGAGCCTCGAATATAAATTATACATGTACTATAATATTCAGTAGGTTGACAAATGTAAAATGGTACAGATTGAGAAGGTGCTCCAACCACTTCTTCAGAACAAGAAGGATTTGAAGTAAGAAAATGTTGATTAAACTTGTTGAGAGGCATGATGTAAACTGTGAAATAAATTTCTTTATCATTGTATTTATGATATTATTCCACCTTCTCGTAATTCTTCTACAATTGAAACAATTTCATTATTATGACCTGTATTTCCTGCTGATTGAGAAGCAATTAGTAACCGTAACCTATCAATTAATTCATTATAATTATCAAAATATTTATAATCAATTTTCTTGGTGTTAAAATTCATTAAAATTCCACCACCACTTTTCTTAACATTTTGACTGCGCAATGTACGTGAGGTAGATTTTTTAGGATCTAAAAGTTTTTTTGGAGATTTAGTTTGTAAACGAGGAAGAGAACTTTGTGGGAGTGAATTGGATCTACTTCTTTGTAAATCTTGACTCATTGAATATAAGTTTGTAACCCGAGGTTTAATTATATCAATAAATTTTTTAGCATTTGAAGTAGATAAACCTTTTTCAGGGTTATAACCTAAATACTGAGCATTTGTTCGTTTAACGATATCTATAAAATTATCAACATCCTCCGGTCTGTATCCAGTAGGAAACTTCTTAAAAAGTAACTCATAGAGACCGGGAGTACCTTTATATTTTAAATCTTGAATTATAATATCACGACCATCAAAATTAATTACAGAATCTCCGAAAGACCATTCTTTAGACTCTGGATCAAAGTATACACCAAATGTATGATCAAAATTTCCTTCATTATCATTTAATAAATCTTCAATGTAACCTCTTGGTAAAGGATTATATTTATTTAAATAACTATCAAATACTTCTTGTGGTACTTCCGGAGTCACTTCTTCAGGATTATCATCAATAAATGTTTCACCAAATTCTGGTTGAATGATTGAACCAGTAAGATTTGGCATAAACTTATAATATTGTGATATGTTACTAGGCGTTTTAGGTTCATGCTTTATTTCTGTTTTCAATGGAGCTGATGAAATAAATTTTTGAATAGGTTCAATGAGTGGTTGTAGTTGTTCCTTGAATTGTTTTTGAGAAAATGCTTTTTCTTGTTTTAGTAAATTATATTTATCCTTTAATACTTTCCGTGATTGAATTAGCTGTTTTCGTATTAGATCACTCATTCTGACTAATATAGTTTTCAATTTTTAAAGCTTTATATAAGAATCAAACCCTTTTCTATATCTACCAGAAGATATTTCACAATCTTTATCTATAACAAAAAAATCATACTTATTTTTCCAACAAGAAGAAGCTATATTTTTAAATTGTTGATATTCCATATCAATATTTGCATGATCATCATAAATATGTTTCAGGTTAGTACAGTCTTGAGAAAATATAATTATTAGGTTGGCGTTATCTCGAATCAATTGTTTGGGTATTGCTGAATATGTTTGACATAAATAAAAACAATCTGTATTTTTATGACGTCCGAAAGAAAAGTAGCTTTTTATAATATTTTGATCGCATGATGCCACATCATCGAATATAATTATTGAATTATTTTTAATGTTTTCTGGAGAAGGTATTTCTTCACTATCACTATATTCTTGATAACCAATTTCTGATAAAGGTTGCAATAATTCTCTTAAATATTCATACTTAGGTTGATGTAGTGATTTCGAATAAAGATAAATATTCTCAAATCTTAATCCATTGGGATGTTCTAACAGAGACAACATAACATTAGTTTTACCACATCCACTAGGACCTATAATTAAACTGCGTTTGGTGTCACCTCCAAACAATATACCATGTTTACCAATAGTAGGTTTAACTTCGATATCATAATTTTTTATAGGTAAGGTATGTTTCTGTTTTTGAATCTTCATGTTAACTGAGAGTATATATGCATGCCCAAACATATATAAAGGATCATATCAATATGAAAACTCAGAGTAAACGTGGCAAGGGTTTGATAAACACTCTGATTAATAAACTTCCCGTTGAATTGCATATTCCTGGATATTCTTATTGTGGACCTGGAACAAAATTACAACAACGCTTAGAACGAGGTGATGAAGGAATTAATCCATTAGATCAAGCTTGTAAAGAACACGATATTGCATACTCACAAAATAAAAATATAAACGAAAGACATAAAGCTGATAAAATATTGGAAAACAAAGCCTGGAATAGGGTTAAATCAAAAGACGCTAAATTTGGAGAAAAAACTGCAGCTTGGTTTGTAACAACAGCCATGAAGGGAAAACGAAAAGTTGGAATGGGTATTAAACAAAATAAAAAAAAAACAAAAAAAGGTGGAACTTTAAGAAAAAAAAACGTATTATTCTAACACCAAAAAAGGGTGGATTTTTACCTTTTCTATTACCATTACTAGGAGCTTTAGGAGCTGTAGGGGGAGGTGCAGCGGGCATTGCGAAAGCAGTGAATGATGCCAAAGCAAATCGTGAACAACTTGCTGAACAGCAAAGACATAATTTGGCTGTGGAGCAAGCTACAAAAATGGGGAAGGGTTTTTATTTGAGACCTTACAAAGGATATGGAATAAAAAAAACTATAAAAACAACAAAACGGGGAAAGGGGTTTTACCTAAAACCGTACAAAGGATCTGGAACCCAACAAAAAAATATATAAAAAAAATCTCTATTAAATT